AACACTGACGTACGGCCTTAGTTCACTAATGACTCGCTTAAAAGTCTGGCATGACCTTGGTTACGGTCAACGCCAACCTGCACCCCCCCCTTGTTTGACAGTAGCGATTATTGCTACTCATGTTTCTTGCGTTATTTGCAAGATTTTTTTACCCCTTCCTACCTATCCAATCCCCGGAACCACCAGCTCGTCTGTTCCTCCTCATAACCAAACACATGATGAAACATATCCTTTGCAATTTTTTTTCAGTAGCCACTATATCAATATTCTGAAAACAACTAACATACTTTACCAAACAGTCCACCAACACTACAAATGATTAACCTCACATCTCTGAATGTACGAGGCTTGAACTCTCCCTTTAAAAGATCTATGTTATACAAAGAAACCCGCAAACTCCATGCTGATGTCTTGTTCCTACAGGAAACACACTTAATGTCTTCTAAACTCCCAAAGCTAACTATGCACGGCTTCTCCCATATCTACATGGCTAATAACCAGAAGAAAAAAAATGGTGTCATCACAGCCATTAAGGATTCTATACGATTTCAACTTATCTCTGAGTTGGCGGACCCCCAAAGTCGCTTTCACATTCTAATCGGCAAACTCAACGATATCCCATACACTCTGGTCAATGTATACGGCCCTAACCACCAACAGATGAAATTCTACAAAAAACTCTACTCTACAGTCTCTCCTATATCACAGGGTAGACTTATTATTGGAGGGGACTTCAATATCATTGGAGATACACTTCTGGACTCATCTTCTACTAAACGAACCCCCAATTTGAGTTTCAACAACTTCCTACACACTCATGACCTATATGATATCTGGCGTTGCCAACATGGATCGGAAAGAGACTACACATATTTTTCTCCAGCTCACCTATCATATTCCAGAATAGATTTTCTCATTACGGACAAATGGACTCTTCAACATGCAACGTCATCCACTATCGGTAATATAACCTGGTCGGACCATGCTCCTGTCACCATAACTCTTGACGACACTCAACATTCTTCAATCCCCCGAATATGGAGACTGAACTCTGTGATCTTGAAACAGCCAGAAAACCAGAAATATATTTATTAGATGCGCATAAGGTATTTTTTGAATGTAATGATACTCCCGATATATCCATTTCCACATTATGGCCTACTTACAAAGCATACATGAGAGGTATACTCATTCAACTTAACTCACGCATAAATAAGACCCGAGCTAAACAAATTGACCAATTACTAACATCCATAAAACTTAAGGAAGACACAAATAAGAAAAACCCTACCCCATCCATGTCTACATCTCTCTCCGCTGATAGAAACAAACTCCGTATACTCCTACTACACAAATATGATATAAACTTACAGAAAACAAAAACACGATTTTATTCCCTGGCTAATAAGGCAAACTCACTCCTAATTAAAACGATTAAACAGAAACGCCTTAAAACTAAAATTACTTCTATCCGACACACCCTACAACACACGAGTCTTATACGAACCCACAAAATATAGCGGAGGCCTTTGCTGATTACTACAAGACACTATACAATCTTGTAGATGATTCAAATACATCTCAACCAACGCCCATTCTAATGCAAAAATTCCTGAACAATATACATCTTCCTCACCTTACATCTTCACAACTTGAGTCCGTATCTTCCCCTATAATCCCAATGGAAATAGAAAAAAACATTCATTCGTTGCCTCTCAACAAATCCCCAGGTATGGATGGCTTCACTAATGAATTTTATAAAACATTTGCCCCGCATCTAACTCCCTATCTCTCCACACTTTATAACCATGTAGCTGAAAAAGGCACCTTTCCGAAAGAAATGCTAATGTCCATAATAACTACAATCCCAAAGCCAGGTAAAGACCCCCAATTGACTCATAACTATAGACCGATTTCATTGCTAAACACAGACATCAAATTGTACGCCAAAATAATCGCTCAAAGACTATTACCTTTTCTCCCCCTACTAATTCACCCGGACCAAGTAGGATTCACCCCCGGACGCCAGGCACCCGATGCCACCAGAAGACTATTATCTCTCCTCCACAAAATTGACTCCACCAAACAACCCTCTATATTCCTTTCCTTAGATGCAGAAAAAGCATTTGATCGTATACACTGGCAATTTATGAAGTCAACACTACAAAAATTCGGAATTGACGGTTGGATGCTCTCCGCAATTCTCTCACTCTACTCCCACCCATCGGCCAGAGTATTGACCGACGGCACACTCTCCACACCCTTTAACATTTCCAATGGTACGAGACAAGGATGCCCCTTGTCCCCCATAATATTTACATTACTCATTGAACCTTTAGCGGCGCGTCTCAGAGATGACCCTTCCTTCACAGGGATCACCCATCTAGACAGGGAACATAAAATAAGCCTTTTTGCAGACGATATCATATTAATGATCACAAACCACAAAAATCTCTTCACGCAATACGGATCCACCTTCAGTCATACTCGCAAGTCTCATACTATAAACTTAATGAAACCAAATCTTTGATTTTAAATCTCCATGTACCTACTAAAATCCAGCAATCATTAAGTAAACAATTTCCCTTTATATGGGAACAACACAGCATACCCTACCTGGGAATTAACCTCACCTCCTCGTTAGAGAAACTCTATGGGGCTAATCATAAACTTCTCCTAGATTCTATCCCGCTGGAACTAAACAGTTTACGCACATCTACTCTATCCAAACTCGGTGACAGGAGAATAGCGACCCTGAAAATGTGTATGCTTCCCAAAATTTTATATATATTCTGCACGCTTCCTGTTCCAATCCCAAACAACTTCTTTATTAAGCTACAAAAAAATTTCGCCAAATTCATATGGAACTCAAAACGACCGAGATATACAACCAATCTCCTAATACGCCCAATATCCAGAGGTGGTGCAGGTCTATCACACCTCAAATCATATTACATTGCAACCCTCCTAGATCAGGTTTATTTCTGGTGGCACCCAACCCAAGAAAAGATTTGGTCTACTATGGAAACGATTCCAATGCATTTAAACTCACCTAGAGATATCCTATTTGTTCCACGTACGCAGCTTACCAATGATATATTTCGTCACCCCTGCATTCAAGCTACTATACAGGCGTGGTATGATCTCATTAATTACCCCTCGATAGACAAGATATCGTTACCCACCCCAATTACCACCCTACACCTGATAATACCTTTCTTGACTCTTACACAATGGCACCGACATGGCATTACACACTTACAACAGCTGTATACAAGAAATACCATTGATTCCTTTTCCTCTTTGCAAAATAATTTTCATCTCCCTGACTCAGAACATTTTACGTATTTAAGAATTGCACATGCTTTGCACAACACTTCGACCCAAACTCTCATTAACATCCCTACTACAGCATATAATTTCCTAAATAAACTGAAATATCCACGAAAAGGGATCTCTACTTTTTATACACTCAGTATTAACTCGCAATTTTCTCCACAAACGACTTCCCTTAGCAATTGGGAGAAACTTTTAGATCAACAAATCCCACTCCATTCATGGGAGAAAACCTTTCATATTACCTATAAAGCCTCTCGATGTAGCTCCCACTGGGAATCCTTTTTAAAAATACTACACCAATGGTACCTGACTCCAGTTAAATTATCCATGTACTACCCTCTACATTCTCCTCTTTGTTGGAGACAATGCGGAGACATAGGTTCAATTCTCCATATATTCTGGTTTTGCAAGTCCATTAGATCATATTGGAACAATGTTTTTCATCTCATCTCAACATTAACTGATGCTCCAATCGCTCCTAATCAAGCCCTCGCTATTCTACATATTGACATTGATCAGTTCCCAAAAGAGACCCGCACGATCATTGTTCACATACTAGCTGCGGCAAAAACTAATATCACTAGACTGTGGAACTCCACTAATCCTCCTTCTCTCACCTCACTCATATCGGACCTAAACTTCCAATGTGACATGGAGAGAAGATCATCCCTAAATACCTCAACCTACCATAAGTTTCTATTTCAATGGGGTAGATGGCTACGAAACCCGAAATGTTCTGTAATATGCTGATTACTTACACTATTGTAACTATACTCTATAACACCCAAGCGATAGGTTGGTTCCAACTCCCCCCCCCCCCCCCCCCCCCCCCCCCTCCTCATATTCCTCCCTTTCCTACTATATACCCTACTATATGTTCTAGTTCGCTGTTTTTTTTTTTTTTTTTCTATTTCATCTTACAATCTAATGCACTAAGGTTTGCGGCTCGTTAAGTGTTATTATGTTTGTTTTGAATGCAATACTGGAAACCATGCCCCGGCCTAATGGTGGGGTATTTATCTTGCATGTTAACCTGTCATGTTGTTTGAACTGCAAATCTAGACTTTGTAAAACTGCAAAATGTTTAATAAAAATATTTGAACATAAAAATCCTTTGCTGTTTTAGGGTAAGTTCACACTTGCAAAAAATTCCACCAGGACTCCTATCGTGTCCTCTGCTGATAATTATTAGTATTATTATTGTACAGTATTTATAAAGCGCCAATAGTTCGCTCAGCGCTGATAATACCTGTTTGTACATTGGATATATGTACTGTTATTAATCTCTTCTTAAATAAAGTTTATATTATTTCTATACTGGTGTGCATGTATATACTTATGTTTAACCACTTCAATACCGGGCAATTTTACACCTTCCTGCCCAGGCCAGTTTTCACGTTTCAGCGCTCTCACATTTTGAATGACAATTGCGCGATCATACAACATTGTACCCAAACTAAAATTTTATCATTTTCTTCACACAACTAGAGCTTTCTTTTGGTGGTATTTAATCATCACTGGGGTTTTTATTTTTTGCTAAATTAACAAAAAAAGACCAAAAATTTTGAAAAAAAAAAAAAAAAACGTTTTTCTTTGTTTCTGTTATAAAAGTTTACAAATAAATAATTGTTCTTCATAAATTTAGGCCGAGATGTATTCTGCTACATGTCTTTGGTGAAAATAACCCAAATTAGGATGTATTTTTTAGTTCACAAACTATGGTATAGATCTGAATATTGATCAATCCTGAAGTACTCACAGCCAATCTAATTTCTTGAGGTCCAAGAATGTCAGAATAGTACAGATAATCCCAATGACCCTTTTTTGCAGAGTAGACAGTCGGACTTACTTCAAAAGAAGAATGGCAAGTTTTTTGAAGTTGTATTTTTTTTGTCATAATTTTTCGGAAAATGAAAAAATAAAAAAAATTATTTTCACTATTTTTTTTTTTACATACTGTCACCAGTGCAGTACAGCATCATCATATAACTGGCATGGCGGTGAACAGGAACACTGACTGGTGACAGTATGAAAAAAAAAAAATATATATATTTTTTTTTTTTTTTCTATTTTTAATTTTTTATTACATTTTTTTTTATTTTTTTAAGATTTTTTTTTCATATTTTACTATGACTAAAGTAGTACAATGTTACCATAGTAACATTGTGCTACTTTGGGGAAGTGATCAGTATTTTTTTTTTTTTTTACACAATTTGCTTATAGCAAAGAATTACTTTGCTAAGCAAGCATTTACCTGAATTAAATCGATTCATTCAGGGCTTTTTTTTTTTTTTTTTTTTTTTGTGCTTAGCTGTGATTTGGCCACAGCTAATCACATGACATGTGCATGTGACCTGCTGTGACCATTCACAGCTAGGCACTAGTATACAATGGATGGCATGAATGAAGCCATCCATTGTATACAACTGTCATGTGACCTGCTGTGATTGGTCACAGCAGGTCACATGGTACCGGCAACAGGGGCCGGTACTCAGATCTGTCATCGGCCGTATCCGAGGTACACGACTGGTGACAGATCGCACCGCTGCACGGCTCTGCAACCGCATGAACTGCGCATGTGTGGGAGCACGCCAAATGGCGTGCACCCGGAAAGCTAAAGCGTTTTTGAGGCTGCCAAACGGCTATAGGCCGGGCGGCTAATGGTTAATGTTATATACTGGTAGCAGTAGTTCATCTGCTCCAAATTACTTTGATTAGATTACTGATGAATTTCCCAGGAAGGGAATCCCCTCTGTTCACAGAGGCCCTGCCCTGGGTGAAGGCACTGCCAACTTTGTTATCAAACCCACTCTTCCACTTATCAAAGGTTCTGGTTCACTTATTTACTTTCAAGTTTAGTACAATATCCTGTATGTGGAGGGCCAATTCTCATAGCCCCTAAAAGAAGGATACACATGGTTCTTCCTTGTAAAAAATCCAGCACACAGGTATAGCTTGCATTTTATGAGGTGGGAAGGGTAGGAGAGAGAGGTATACTATACTAGTCTTATCATGGAAAAAAACAAAAGTTCAGTTTTGCAAAATATACTTCTTTATTTAGGCCCAATCATTTACTATCTATATCCACATTCAATTTAATAAAAGTTTACTTTTTTAGCAAAAAATTTTGGTTTGTTTTGACAAAACATGTTGCTGTTTTAAACCCAGGAGCAGATGCTTGCAGTCTAAAAGCTGCACTTTCTTGGGAAAATAGAAATGGCATGTTTCCACAAAAGGACTTTATTTCCAGACTGATTGCACTAAAAGCTATACTTATTTAGGGGAATATAGAGGTTTGTTTATACAAAATACAGTACCTGCCTTTCATATTGCAAGCTAATGACTATGGTGTAGGAGCTACTTTTTTCCAAACTCAGCATATTAAAACCTAGACATTTTTGCAGATAGATGTTTGTTTCAATAAAGCCCTCTTTTAATCCCATTAACTATTTAAATTCACAATCAGTAGATGGCAGAAATATAATTTTTTGGTTGGAGGGACCCAGTCTCAAAAGAAAATTATTGGACAAATTAGGTTTTCAAAAGTCCATCCCCTTTGAAAAATGGGAAATGGACCTCTCTGCTTACACAATTTCACAATTTTAGTTTTTCGCTCTATGCACAGTCCATAATAGCTCCAGATGTATTGAGCGCTGGATGTTGATGTTCATCTTACAGTGGTATCTAACCCCACACAAACTCACCAATTTCTACCCTGCGCAATCCTCTTTATGCTGGAGAGAATGTGGTTCCATGGGCACATTGATGCACATTAGGTGGTATTGTAAACAGCTCCATAGTTTCTGGAGATGAATTTTCCAGCTCATTGCAGAAATTGCAGGAATTCTAACACCGCCATCACTGGCCTTAGCAATACTAAACCTGAATATAGAGAAGTACTCACTGCAATCCAATATAGTGATAACCCACATACTTTTAGCATGCATATTAACAATTACCAAACATTGGAAAAGATAGCTGGCACTTACTCCTTCTTTTACAAAGGGTTTTATTATAGAATAAGCAGAGATAAACACACATTCAAGAAAGATATACATTGACCAACAAATATGAGACATACAGGGCATTTTTAGAAATATTTCAGAGCATATACTGGAAAAAACATAAGCATGATCTGGGTATTTAAGTGTCATGGAAAAGAAGACAGGGAAGGGGGAAAAAAAAGGGGGGGGGGGGGGTAAGGGGGAAACGATGAGCAAACATCTGGAGGTCAATGAAAATGCAAACTCTAATAACAATTTTTGCTATATCATCAGCGTATTGAAAACAGGATAGGCCTGAAGTAAAGCCTCTCCAGATGGTAATACATATATTCCAGACATTGGGCTCACAAAGGAGTCCGGGTTGCATAGGTAGTATTGCAGATGTAGCACTTAGAGCAATGATCACAATCATTACAATTGGCATAAGAACAGATTGGAGAGAAGAATAGAAAGGGACAATCGATGAAAAGACAAGGACAAAAACAAAACATAAAAACAAAGACAATCACAAAAGGGCTCCAGGGTGACCGCAACAGAATCGATCCTCAAATCGACAGAAAGGACTGGTCAAATCTTGATGGGTGGGCTGCCGCCAGCCAGGGACACCATATCTACAGAAATTTTGTATGGGTATCCAACAGTATAGCTGTCAATTTTTCATTAACCATTATGAAATTCATCCGGTTTTTGACAGCCTCGAAGCTGAGGAGAGGAGCCTTCCAAGCCCTCGCGATAGTCAGTTTAGTGGCCATAAATAAATGTGATGCCAGCTGCAGTTCAGGGCGGAGAAGGCCCTCCAGTGGTTTAAATAGGAGCGCTTCATACGGGTTAAGCTTAATATCTATGTGAAGCATAGTGCGGAGAAGGGCATAAACTCTAATCCACAATCTGCTAACCTTAGGGCAAGTCCACCAGATGTGAACCATAGTACCCACTTGTTGGCACCCCCGGAAACAAGCTGGAGAATATGAGGGGATAAAATTAGCTAGACGAGCAGACATATAATACCATCGATAAAGAATTTTGTAAGCATTTTCGAGAATGATGACATTCCTTGAACATTTAAACAATGCTTGAGTCATGGTCTGCCAATCCTGTTGATCCAAAGTCCCCCCAAGTTGATGATAGGAACGAACCGGAGGAGTTCTATAAGAAATAATGGCAGAGTAGACCAAAGAGATCAGACCAGGAGCATGGGGTCTATGTCTGCACTGGCTTTCAAAGGGGGACAGACGGTAAGGTCCTGAGTGCGTCCATATTAGTGTATTAGCAAAATGACTGAGTTGAAGGTAACCAAAGTGTTCCCGCAAAGGAATGTTATAGGAAGAGCGCAGAGTTTCAAAGGTAAGTATTCAAGTGGGAGATAGCATCGAATGTACATCATAAAAACCATGTATTTGCCACCAGGCAATTTGCCTAGGATTGTCCTGGCCTGGAGGGAATAACGGGTTATGTAACAGACGTAACAACGGTAGATGGGCAGAGATAAGGCCAGCGGAATATTTAATGGAATCCCAAATATGAAGCGAAAGCTTCAGCGTCGGGCTAAGGGTTGATGGACGATGAGAAAAAGGAAGCCACGGTAAGGAAGATAGTGGTATCGGATGGGAGTCTAACTAATCTACAGTAGCCCACAAGGGGAAATGGTGAGATGCATGAATATGGGCTAGGGGGGCAATATTTGCTGCCAGGTAATAAGACTGGAGATTTGGGACAGACAGCCCACCTTCACTCCTTCAAGCAAATAAGATATGTTTACTAATTCTGGGTCGAGAAGAACTCCAAATAAAGGACAAAAATTTTCGCTGATGGATACGCAATATATGCAAAGGAACAGGAACTGGTAAAACGCGAAATAAATACAATAATTTAGGGAGATAGGTCATACGGATCGCATTGATTCTGCCGAACCATGAAAGTGGGTAATGAGACCAGGAGGACAACATCTCGGTCAGCTCTTGGAAAACAGTGGGGAAATTAGCCAGGTATAGTTCGTCATATGTCGGGGTGAGCTTAATTCCTAGATATGGTAGTGCCGAGAGCCATTAAAAATGGAACAAATGTTTCAGAGTAGCCATAAGTGAGGAGGAGAGAGTAATTGACATAGCTTTTGATTTGGCAGGATTGACATGAAGTTTGAAAAATTTGTAAATGAATCCAGAACCGCAAGTAAGTTTGGCAAAGTGACCCCCGGATTTGTGATTGACAACAATATATCATCTGAGAACAGAGACAATTTATGTTGGGAACCAGCCACATCAATCCCCTTAATATCAGGATGCATACGAATGGCTTCTGCCAACGGCTCCAAGGCTAAAATAAAAAGTATGGGGGAAAGCGGACAGCCTTGCCTAGTACCCCTGGCAATCGAGATCGTGGAGGACTTGAATCCATAATATTTAAGTTTTGCTTGAGGGGATGTATATAGCGAAGAGATCCATCTTAGGAACGAGGGGCCAAAGCCAAAGCGGTTAAGGACCGATAAAAGATAAGTCCAGGATAAAGTGTCGAAGGCCTTGTTGATATCTAAAGATAGGAGCATCGTATCAATTTTGCGAGTATGGGCTAAATGTTGTAATTGTAAAATACGTCTGATAGCATCTCCAGCTTGTCTGAGCGGGACAAATCCCACCTGGTCTTTTTTTTATCAGAGAGAAAGGAAAGAATTCAGTAGAGTGGCCAAAATTTTGGTAAGGATTTTCATATCGATGTTAAGAGAAATAGGCCTATAGTTTGCCCAGGAAGAAAGATCTCGATCCAGTTTAGGGATATAACCACATTTGCGGTCAAAGATTCCGGAGAGAAGTTCGAACCTCCCTTCACCACGTTAAACATGGCGGCAAGGTGAGGGGCAAGCACATCAGCTAACTTCTTGTAGTATAGCGCCGTGTATCCATCTGGGCATTGTAAAACCTCTGATATTTGGATATCACGGTCCATCAAGTCCTTATGAGCCAAGGT